CAAACTGCTAGGTTGGCAGAAGCTGTGACAAGTAATGGGAGCTCACTCCATTGCACGGTGCTAGGGATTTGAACCACCAAACTGCTGACCTTTCTGATTGACAAGCTCAGTATCTTAGCCCCTGAGTTATTGTGTCCCTATAACTTTTATATACCAGTGCTTATTTTATATCCACATAGAGTGTTGCAGGATCCAATCTAGGTCAGTCAGCAGGACCAGAGGTTTTGTCTTCCAAGCTTTCAGACTCCTGCTGGACCCCATCTTCAGGGAACTTCTCTCTAGCTGAGTGTGTGCTGTTCTGTGTGTGGTATACATATTGCCTGTTGTAATTGGCTTTTTTAGATGTTGATTGGGGTGTGTTGGTGTCTGGCTTTTATGACATTAGCTATTATTTGCTTGTGCTGCCCAACCCTTGCCTTTTAAGTACTTGATAGGCTGGTGGTAAATCAGTGCTCCTGTTGACTGATGAGGGGCCTATTTCACTTCCCTGGCTGTTTTGTGCCTGTTCGTCCAATAATCTTAGTAACTGCAAAATTGAATGTGTCCTTGTTCATTGCAGTGGGAGTCTACCAGTGACGCTATAGTATTATTGTTGTTGCATATCAGTAGATGGTGTTTAAAAAGGTCAGATTCTCAGAAGTTCCAGATAAGTATAATATTAACTTTAGTCCATATTCTCTAAAATATATACTGCAAGAATGAGACATTGCTGTCTTTTTAAAATTTAACATAACTTTATTTCATTTTTAGTGTTGTCTTGAAAGGACTTCCACCAGGATCATATTTTTCAGAAGGAGATCACAAAATCCAATATACTGTGTATGACAGAGCTAGGAATAAGGGAACTTGCAAATTTTTGGTCAAAGTCAGAGGTAAGATCTCTTACCAGCTGAAAACAAGCAGTCATTGAATCCAAACCACATGCACATGTTATTCGAAGATGTAGGATTGCCTCTCCTAACTTCAGAAAGTGAAGATTCTTGAAAGGGAGTATTTCAAAAGGAAGCTTTAATTAAATAGAAAGGAAACCATTAAGTTCAAAGCAACGTCTGAATCCCCTTAAGCAATGGAAGTAGAATTAAAGCAGTAGAGACCCCTCCCATTAGTTAGAATGCAGATTTTAGCCAATGCACAAATGTGAGATGGTTCCTTTACCAACTGCCCAGAGAACCGGATAAACATACATTCCCATGGATATCTTCCATTAGATATTAAAGTGAACCATCCCACATGGCTATCATAAACCTTCCCCAAAAGGTGAGGGGATCACAAGGCGCTTAGATGCAAGGAAAGCAGTTGTAAAATATCAGTTGTCACAGGCACTGCTAATAAATTGCCTCCAAGGCCCCCCTCCTCCCAATTGAATGGAATTATCACTTTTAGGGATCTGACATGCTGCCTTCCTTAGAAAAAGGAGAGAAACACCTGTGAAAGATAAAAACAAAAATTCCATCATAGTATTTTTACAAGATTTGTCAGGATATTGGGAGTGAAATTTGTTTAGTAAGGTACTTGGTGTTTAGTGACCCATTCATTTTGAGATGAAGGTAGATGCTTCTAAGCAACTAGGTATTGGGTTTTCCTCCTGTGGATCCTAGAGTCAAGGATTTCCTTGATTTCAAAATGTTGTTCACCTTCTATCATGATGGGAACATGTAGTGTAGGTGCAGATGGTCTGCATGGTCTTCTCGTTTGAGTAAACTAATGTGAAATACTAGGTGGACTTGCCTGAGTGTCTTTGGAAGGAGTAGTTCTACTGTTACTGGATTGATGACCCTAGTGATAAAGGTCCAATGAAATTTCTTTGATAGCTGTAATGATTTCAGGAGTTTTGTAGATAAGTATATCTTTCTCCAACATGGAAAGGTTTGGGTTCCATTCTTTTCTTGTCAGCTTGAATTTTAAAAGCCTCTCTTGCTTCCTCTAAAGTTAATCTAACTACTGGCCATGTGTTTTGCATAGTGTCCATCCACTCCTTAAGTGAGGGGATAGTGGGTTCTTCTGTGGGTAGTTCAGGCATGGGGCTGAAATCCTGGCCTGTTGGTACTGTAAAAGGGGTAAAACCAGTACTTGAGTGTACAGAGTTATTGAATGCAACTTCCGTTAAAGGTAAAAGTTCAGTCCAGTTGTTCTGTTGAAAATTAATAAAACATATTAGATATTGTTCTAGTACAGTTCTCTCATATTGACTGTTAGTTGGCATATGGTGTGAAAAGCTCAACCCCTGGGCAATGCTAAGTAAGTTTAAAAATGCCCCCCCAAAATTTGGAGGTGAATTGGACCCCTCTGTCAAAGACAATTCTCTGTAGGGCTCCATGAAGACAATAAATGTATATTAGGAATAACTTGACTGGACTTTTGACAGTTGGGATCGTTTAACAAGGTATAAAATGTGCCTGTTTTGAAAACAGGTCTGTTATGACCCAAATGACAGTATTCCCTGCACTTTTGGCAGTTCTACAATAAAGTCCATAGCAATCTCTCTCCAGGGTGCTGAAGGTTCAGTTACCTTCTGTAAGAGTCCTGGATTTTCCCTTGATGTCTTTTAGCTGCCACACAAATAGGGCAGCTAGCTACGTTGCTCTCTATGTCCTTTTTTAGTGATGGCCACCAAAATTGCCTTTTTAAAACAAAATTTACTTTATTTTTTTAATAAATTTTTATTTTAAACACATAAGCACATCAACAGAAACAAACACATAATTTAAAAACAACATAGGAACAATAAGTTCCATCGCATATCATACCGCAGTTCTGAATCAGTTTCTTTGCAGTTAGTGTTTTCCCTACTATACATTTCTATCTTGTATTCATNTTAGTTAGAAGAATATCTGGAATGATGGTATTGAATGCTGAGCTGAAGTCTACAAAGAGGACCCTTGCATAGGTCTTTGGAGATTCAAGATGTTGCAGGAAATAGTGCAGAGTCATATTAACAGCATCATCTGTCGATCTTTGCTCGGTAGGCAAATTGCAAGGGGTCTAACAACGGATCCGTGGTGGTTCTCAGGTGCCGAGCACTAGTCTTTCAAAGGTCTTCATAACTACAGATGTTAGAGCAACCAGTCTCAAGTCATTCAGTTCCTTGATGGAGGGTTTCTTCGGCACTGGGATGATAGTAGAGCAATTGAAGCAAGAAGCAACATAGCACATCTCTAGTGATTTATTAAAGATCGAGTGAAGATGGTGGGCAGTTGGTCAGCACAAGCTTTTAAACAAGGAGTCATCTTGTTTGGATCTGGCATTTTTCCTGGCTTTTGTCTGTGAAATAGGCTTTATAGCTCATTCTCTGTAATCACCAGAGGTGGTGGGCCCCAAAGGAATAGGGTAGGTTGTACGAGGCTTAGCTGTTGCTGGTGTGTCTGAGATGGGGATCGTGGGGATGGATGGCAATAGTTTTCTCTCAAACCTACAGTAAAACACATTCAGGTCATCTGGCAGTTATTGATTTCCTTTAGCTTGGAAAGGTGGTTTGCTGTAACTGGTGATATTTTTAAGAGTTTTCCACATGTTTGCTGGTTCATTTGTTGAGAACTGATTCTTTAGCTTTTCAGAGTAGCTTCTGAAAAAGAGCTTCTGAAAACAATAATTTCTTCTCCAAAGAAACCATGTTTCCTTGAAATACAACATGAATGATAAAAATGGGTAAAAGTATTTTACAAAAGTGGGGGTGCCAATTATAATGTAGTGAAACTGAAGACTCTTTGAATAGAAAAAGCACTTATTTTTACAAAATTAGAATAATTTTGAAAAGTACAGGTAACTAAAATTGAAGAATAGGCAAGAAATCACTTTGTGTAAAACATTTTATTTCTTTGCACAAGTGTTGTTATAAATAGTTCTCTAGTATTTTAGAAAACATAATTTCATTTTAATATTCAACAGTTTAATTTTAACTGTCCTGGTAGCAGTTTGTGGCTTAATGTTATTACTATTGTTTAAAAATGTTCTATGCTTCAGTAAACATTAGCTTAAAACAAATCATCATGTTTGTCTGTGTTTTTATATATAGATATGGAATCGCCAAGAATTCAGTGTCCAAGTGTAAAGGAGAAAATAGCAGAACCCAATAAATTAACATCCAGGGTATTCTGGGATACTCCAGAGGGACGAGATACTGCTGATGGCATTTTGACAGAGTGAGTAAAGATGTACAAAGTAAAAAAAGTAAATTAAACAATAAAGTGACAGTACATAAATGTAAAAGCTGTACATGAAACACACTTTATAAATTTATATACTTTTAATTTAGTACATAATGCTCTACAAGCTATTTCTCAAAGGTCCGAGTACCGGACCTAAACCAGCAATATGCCACACATGTTGAGGCTTCCTGGATTTAATAAGCCAGACTCTGGCACACAATGAGTTCCAAATTGGCTTTGGAGGAAACTGCGGAAGGGCAGAGCCAGTGAGGCCAAGGCATTTTAGGATTAGAACAGCTTGTAGACAGGGAGGAACAGGAGCAAAATGAACATGAGAGACAGAGCTCAGATGATGAGCAAGGACCTCCTGATCCTAGAGCACGCAGAGAAGAGAGAAGGTGAGAACAACACAGACTGAGCTGGCTATGAGGGGCTGAGATGTAAAAGAGATGCCGGTGGTAGGGGCATTTGTTGGGAACAAGCATTGAATCTGTGGAGCATCTGTGTGCACTTGCTGACGTCTGGAAATTACTGTGCTGTCTTGTGGGGCTTGCCTGGTTTGCCTGCTTCGCTGAACTTCTGGCTCTGGTTACTGTTTTGCTAACCTTGCTTACTGGACTTCTTGCCTTGGTTACTGCTTTACAAACCTTGCTTACTAGACTGCTGGCCCTGGTTACTGATTTGCTCACATTGCTTACTGATGTTTGGGGGAAAAGTTGGAGTAATAAAGGGGAGCTAGAACTATTCTCTGGCTGTGTTGCTTTTGTGCCATGCCCTAGGTCATCACAGAAGGCCTCTGTGATGGGATAACCCTTCCATTGGACCAAGTATTGCAACTGCCCCCTTTGTAGCTGGGAATCTAATATCTGGTCAATCTTGTAATGGGTCTACCCCCTACCTCCATAGGGCTGGATACTGGTGCCGTTCATGACTGGACGGAGGCCTCTCCTACTTATTTCAATAGACTACTATGGAAGACGGGATGGACTTTCCCTAACAGTTGGGGTGGTTTCAGCTCCACTGTCACAAAGTTAATTATCCACACAATGAGACTGGGCCTAGGAACTTCAGACCCAATTTTCAACAGGGGACCTTCAATTTCAGGTATTTGGTCGACAGGTACACTCTCTCCCCCACCTGGAATGGCTTCTGTAGAGACCATTTCCTGTTGTTGTACTTTGTGGGTTTCTGCTGCTTTTCTCAAGGCCAATTTTATGGATCCCCACACCCCCTGGAAGGTTTCTATCCACTCCTTTGGGCCAACAGGGGAAGGGGATTCCCAAGAGTATTCAGGTATGGGAACAAAGTCTATTCCATGCACCACTCGGAAGGGAGTAAAACCCGTACTGCTATGGACAGCATTGTTATATGCCACCTCCACAAATGGCAGGAGCTCTGCCCAATTGGTTTGCTGGTAGGTGACATAGCTTCTGAAATATCTTCCCACTACAGCATTGGCTCTCTCTGCCACCCTGTTAGTATTTGGGTGAAATGCCGAGCTTAAACCCTGGGATAACTCTATTATTCAACTCTATCAGAACCTGGCTGTGAACTGTACCCTCTGATCTGAGTTAAACTTCCGTGGCACACTGTGGAAGTGATAGATATGTGTGAGGAACAGTTTAGCCAATTTTTGTGCCCATGGCATGGTACAAAATGTGCCTATTTTGAAAACAAATTGATGACCGTCCATATGACAGTCTGGCCATTGCTCTCCAGAAGCTCCACAATGAAGTCCAAAGCTATCTCCTCCCAGGTTGGCCACAGACTGCTAGAGGTCAGGGGGCTTTCCCGTGGTCACACATACTGGACATCCTTTGACATAGTCCTCTATTTTGTGTTGCATCTGGGACCACCAGAACTGTCTCTTGGCTAAATGCAGGGATTTGAGAAACCCAAAGTGTCCTGCCTGTTTCACATCATGCCTGTTACGTAGTACTTGGGGCTTTAGGGTGTGGGGCACATATAATTTACTGCCTTTCCATGCCAACCTCTCCTGTTGGGTGAGCAATTGCTGGTGCTCTAGGAATCAGGAGCCAGTCAGCAGTCCATCCCATAACTGATGGGTTAACTCATCTGCACTTATGCCAGGCCATTGGGCTGAAACCCATGTGGCTTGTTGCGGAGAAGGGGAATGAGGGGGTGTATCACCTCCTCCTGGCAGCTGTTATATTGAGGCATCCTTGATAGAGCATCTGCCATGAAGTTTCTACCCGCGGGGATGTATTTCAAAGCAAACCAGGAGCATTGGAAATACTGTGCCCATCGCACCTCCTGGGGTGACAATCTCTGCAGGGTTTGGAATACCTTGGGGTTTTTATGGTCTGTCCGCATCTTGAACAGAACTTTACTCTCCTCCAGGAGGTGACACCAGGTCATGAGGGCCCACTGGACCACAGAATTCTCCTTTTCCCAAGTGGCCCATGTCCGTTTGGTTTCTGTAAGTTTATGGGACGTATATGTGCATGGCTGTAATCTGCCCTGTTCATTCATCTGGAGAAGGATGGCAGCCACCTCCATGTCGCTGGTGTCCACCTGAACTATAAAGGCCTGTTCAAGGCCCTGATGCTGATTGCTGTGGCGGCAGGATGTGGCGTGGCTCTGAACTTTAAAAGACACTGGAAGGCAGATGCTCCAAATGCTGACTATCTCTCAAAGTTCCAAGCTTTGGATCTAAACCAGTAATATGCCACATGTGTTGAGGCTTCCTGGATTTCATAAGCTGGACTCTGGCACACAATGGGTTCCAGATCAAAATTAGATGTATAGTCAGCGCTGGGAGCGTCTGCCTTCCAGCATCTTTTAAAGTTCAGAGTTGCGCTGCATCCCACTGCCGCAGCAATCTGCCATGCCCTCCCCACCCCTGCAACAAGCTGGCCAGACCCATTCAGCTGATGCCAGCTCAATAGCTGCTCATTGGCAGAACAGCTGCAGCTCCCTGGCTCTTCTCTTTGTGTGCCGCTGGATGCTCTGGAGTAGCTGATTGTCATCTGAATCACTGCTGGTTATGATTAGCTGGCTTTCAGCATCAGCTGGGTTTCGACTCTGCTGCTGCAGCCTCTCACTGTGTCAGCGCAGCTCCACTGTTGGCCCCCTCAGGCATGGCAAACCTCAGACTTTGGCACTAGTATGAATTGAGAAATTTATAGCATTTTAGTTCCTCATCTTTCTTTCAAATATGCAGCCCAAATAATTGTGCAGTCTAGCAATTGAGTAACAAGATGCAAGATCAACTTTTATATTAAAAAGGTAAAGGTTCCCCTCGCACATATGTGCTAGTCATTCCAGACTCCAGGGGGTGGTGCTCATTTCTGTTTCAAAGCCAAAGAGCCAGCATTGTCCGAAGATGTCTCCGTGGTCATGTGGCTGGCATGACTAAATGCCGAAGGTGCACAGAATGCTGTTAGCTTCCCACCAAAGGTGGTTCCTATTTTTCTACTTGCATTTTTACATGCTTCCAAACTGCTAGGTTGGCAGAAGCTGTGACAAGTAATGGGAGCTCACTCCATTGCACGGTGCTAGGGATTTGAACCACCAAACTGCTGACCTTTCT